GAGAGAGAGAGAGAGAGAGAGAGAGAGAGAGAGAGAGACTGGCACGAGGCACTTCGCCCAATAAAGAAAACCAATGAAATAGGGAGGAGGAGGAGAAAGGAGGAGGAGGAGGAGGTGGATGAGGAGGAGAGAAGAAGACGAAGAGAGGAGGAGGAGGAGGAGGAAGAGAATGGCGTTGACGAAAAAGAAAAAAAAAAATGACGAAGGAGGAGGAGGAGAGAGAGAGAGAGAAATCCCGACACATGGCACTTTTCCTGCTAAAGAAAACCAATGAAGCAGGGAGGAGGAGGAGGAGAAAGGAGGAGAAAGGAGGAGGAGAGAAAAAGACGAAGGGAGGACGAGGAGGAGGAGGAGAGAAGAAAAAGGAAGGAGGAGGAGAGAAGAAAAAGAAAAGGAGGAGGAGGAGGACGACGACGAGAGAAGAAGACGAAAGGAGGAGGAGGTGGAGGGGGAGAAGAAGAAGAGGAGGGAAGGAGGAGGAGAGGAAGAAGAAGAAGATGAAAGGAGGTGGAGGCGGAGGAGAGGAAGAAGAAGAAGAAGAGGAAGCAAAGAGGTGGAGGCGGATACCACAGCGGGACCGTATCGACCACGACGGGGCAGCTTTCCGACGGCGGGCAGCGACGACGGGCAGCGACGGCAGCGACGGCGGGCAGCAACGACGGGCACCTCTTCGACGGCGGGCAGCGACGGCGGGGAACGTGAACGAAAAAATAAAACGGGCAGCTCTTCGACGAACTGCACGTTCGAATTTGAAGGCCGCCCGTCGAAAAAAATTGCGCCGGGGGGCGGGGAGGCTCCCACGGGCCAAACCACTTCGAAAATGGCCTCCCCCCCCCGCGCGCAAAAATGCGCTGGGCTCGCCCGGCGCCAAACCGGGGGACCCAACCGGCCGGGCCGCCCGGGACCCCTGTCGGACGAAGGCTGGGCTGTCGGGCGCCCCGGAGTGTAACACAACATATTCGTTAATTATGACTCTTATTTGTAGTCTCTTCAGTTCCCACCATCTCCACATAGTGAGTTCTTCTCTTGCCTTTTCAAAAATATCTCTGCAGAGTGTTGAGGAGGGGTTATCGATCAGATTTGTCTCTGCAATCTTCAGGGTTGTCTCCAACGCGTGCTTCCTCTGTTTCCTGTCGGCCGCTAATTTCCTTGAGATTCTAGCTATCGTCTGTGATAATGTGCAGTAACTTTCCTGAAACCATTCCCACCGATCATGTATTGGTAGGTAGGTGCCCTTCAAATTCTTCCAACAATCCTGAACTCCTATATGAAAACTTCGGCTCAGTAGGAGAGAGTTATTGAGTTTGTGAAAGTTGAACCCTTTTTTGACATATTGTTCGAAGCTGATTATTAGTTCGATGGTTTTGTGGTCCAGACCCATGTATGGTGCGAGGGCCAGTATCTCAACACTTTTAGCTGTCCCCATTAGTGTCCCTGAGAGAAGGAAATAGTCCATGAAGGAGAAAGCGGTATGGTGGGCATGTTTTTTTTCACCAATGTGAAGGTTATTGTCCCCGAATGCAAAGTCCGGTATGGTTCAACTAGATTGTAGTCCATCATCAACTTTTGGATGGGAACCGCCTCCTGTGTAAGCTGACCAGCCAAGGACCTAGATATATGAACCGTGGTGGGGTCTATAGTTGCGTTCCAATCACCGATCAAAATACAGGGTGATAAAGGGGGAATCAGATGACTGATGTTTGTTATAAAGTTGATCTGTCTGAAGAGCTGTTTGGTGAGTAGACATTGATTATTCTGAACTCTTCGTCCTTCCACTTTACATCCATAAGGCACCATCTGTCTTCTACCGTGTCCGCCTCCTTGCCCACTATCGATCCTGTCGTGTTTAGGCGGGATGATTTGGGTACAAGGATGGTTGTACCTTTCGTACTTGACGTATTGTCTGAGGAGCATATTTCATCTTTCATTCCTCCCAGCTTCCTTGATAAGAGTTTTCGAATTCTGTTGTGTTCTTGTTTTTTTTTTTGAAACCGGGCCCGGTGCCCAAGGCTGATCTTACCAATAATAAGATTGAGGCCGGGGTCCTCACAGTCTGCCCGGAGTGATCGAACC